AATAATTTCTTTAAATTAAGTCATTATAACAATATCCACGTTCCACAAACCTGGCAATTCGAAGAAATTCAAGCAGCAGACTATTCAGCAAGAAGAAAACAGTAGACTTCGCCAAACTTCAAGAGATTTTAGAAGATTTATCGGATCTCAACAGACTTCAAGGCTAAAGTCTCTACTGTTTTCCCTTGCTCTATAGTATTGAATTTAAGGTAAATAAAGAAAATTCAAGAAGAAAGCAAGATGATGAAGGTAAAGACGAAAAGTATTTGATCATATCTCAAGGCATACAGATTTGAAGGATAACCAAGGGGGAAACAGCAGAGACTTCAGTCGTGAAGTCCCATGAAATCTTGAAAGTCTTTCGAAGTCTTCTGAAGTCTCTTTGAAGTCTTATGAATTCTCATGAATTCTCATAAAGTCTCTTGAAGTCTCTGAAGTCTCATAAAGTCTTCTGAAGTCTCATAATGTCTTATGAAGTCTTATAAAGTCTCATGAAGTCTAATGAAGTCTCATGAAGTCTAATGAAGTCTCACGAAGTCTCATGAAGTCTAATGAAGTCTCATGAAGTCTCTTGAAGTCTCTTGAATTCTAATGCAGTATCATGAAGTCTCATGAAGTCTCTTGAAGTCTCATGAAGTCTCTTGAAGTCTCTTGAAGTCTTTTGAAGTCTAATGAAGTCTCATGGAAGTTTTGAAATACGTTTAGTGCATGAAAATTCATAAAAAAGTAATGAAATTGTCTTGTTTTCGACGGTCTTATTTTAGCAGAAAGGTGAACTTTTTATTGTTTGTTTGTCAAGGTACTGGAAAAAAATTCAAGTTTGTTGGATCTTAGAAAACATGATAGTTAAGAACTGAATGCTTTGTGAATGAAGTGGTTTATTTTTATAAGAAATGTTTCATTTATTCGATGTCAATCTTATGAAGAATTTTATTCCTTTTTGTTTATTTCTATCACTCGTGATAATCTATCAGCCGATAAATGGCTAGCTTCGTCGGTCAATAACCAACAAGTCGTTTGCTTGTGTATAAATTTAGTCTTGTTATTTATTTGCACCTGAAAATAGGAGTTTTCCAATGCTGGATTAATCGAATCAAACATACGCATACCAGTAAAGTTTATTTTCTCTGTTTTAATTTCATCAACGCTTTGTGTCATTGTCACATCTTTATTCTAGATATGGATATACTGCGAGAAACAATTCTCAGAAACAAGAAACACTTTTGTAATCTCTATATGATAAGTTTTGTTTTTTGCATGCTATAGAAATTTCATGTACTTTCTATAAGGTTTTTTGATACGCATGGAATCTGCCTCTTGAAGTCCTGTGAAGTCTCATGAAGTCTCATGAAGTCTAATGAAGTCTCATAAAGCCTCATGAAGTCTCTTGAAGTCTCTTGAATTCTAATGAAGTCTCATGAAGTCTCATGAAGCCTCATGAAGTCTCTTGAAGTCTCTTGAAGTCTCATGAAGTCTCTTGAAATCTCATGAAGTCTCTTGAAGTTTTATGAAGTCTTGTGAAGTCTTATGAAGTCTTATAAAGTCTCAAGAAGTCCTACAAAGTCTCTGAAGTCTCATGAAATCCGTGAAGTCTCATGAAGTCCGTGAAGTCTCACGAAGTCTGTGAAGTCTAACGAAGTCTTTTGAAGTCCCATGAAGTCTCATGAAGTCTTATGAAGTCATACGAAGTCTTATAAAGTCTTGTGAAGTCATTTGGAGTCCTATGAAGTCTTCAGAACTCTTTAGAACTCTTTTGAAGTCTTGTGAAAATATGAAGTCACTGCGGTTGAAGTCTGTTGAAGTCTTTTGAAGTCTTTTGAAGTCTTGAAGTCTTGAAGTCCGCTGTTTCCCCCTTGAGGATAACCATCCAACTATATAGATGACCATCTTCTTCAATAACTTGATTTTCTTGAATTTTATGCTGATTGACCAGTGCATATACTACTAGAAAATAGTTAAAGTCTATAGTTGAAATATATCGTCATTATAAAAACATATTTCTTGCTAAAACATAATTATACACTCTGAAAGTTTTTGAAGTATTCTATGAACCTGTATATTTATGGCTTAATCTGCGACTACTTACTGAAAAACAAATCCAGCACAATAAATGTATTCTAGCGTAGACAGGATGAGACTCAATATAAATATCACATCAACAGTGCCGGTTCAGCATAAATATAAGACATTATGTGGAATGTTAGATGTCGCAAAATTAACTTCATAATTTTCGTATATTACTCCAAAGTTTCAGTTGATCACGAGAAATTAATAGCATAAGGAGTTTATATTAGTGTTCTACTTTACTTAATATAAAAGTGAACTCTTAAAAGTGAATTTTACTACAGTATATTAATGAATTTCGATTTCAACATTGATCGCTATGCTTCATATATCATCAGATCGCGTACTACATTTACATTGTTTCTATCCTTTATTATGTTGTATATTGTGACTTTCTATTGATATAATATTACATGCAACGAAAAAAGAAAATAAAGCAAAAATGAAAGAAAAGTCACAGCATAGAGAATAAATTCTAGAAAAATATTTTTCTTGTTTTATCGTATCTATAGCAACGGGCAAACAAGAGAAGCGAACGAGTTTATCCATCAATCGCTTATATAAATATACTTGCTCATATTTTTGCTTGTGTATAGGATAAGTACAAAAAAATATTTATCTTCGCATAACGACAATCATTTCTAATCAATTTCTATTTCTGACAATACAACAAATTGTAAGCAAAGTTATTTTTCTAGTAAATTAGTAAGACATTATTTTATTGTTCTTGAGTAACTTTAGTAGTAAATCTTCGTTTTCAAAAATTTCTGATGAAAAAATTCACTAAGATGTATACATTTAAATCAAACATTGATCTTTTTGATATGATTTTTATAATTATACAAAAATTTTCTTCTTCCTTATATCACACAAAATAGTAAAATTTATTGCACATGACTTTATATTTTTTCAATTCATGTCCATTAGGAAACGATCTAAAATTATATCTCTTCTTTTCCAATGTGTGATAATATACAACAAGAGTGCTATTTCATCTAATCTCTTTTTAACACAATTAGCTAAAAATTTTGCAAATATTCTAGAATATGTACTGTTCGAGTTATTCCTTTCCATATCTTAAAATATACATGATTTTGGAGATTTAGTATAGAGTATGAAACGGATGATGACAACAGATATTAACTAGTAACTGTTGCTGATCGGTCCAATATGAACCGGTGAGTAAAAGTAACGTAAACCAGTATAAGGCGCTGATAGTGAACCAATGATTGACGGGCAAGGTTATATGCCATTTTCTTTAAAATTTCATTGTCAAACTGAATGAGAATTTTCTCTTAAGGAAAGGAAGAACGAACAATGAGATTTTACATATTAGTCATATAAATAATCAAAATAAATATATTATAAAAATGTCAAAATATTAAAATGTGATCGATTTGATTAATTTTTCAACGATAGCTTCTCGAAACATATCATTATTTTTTAATAAAACTTAATATTAAAAACTCGACAGAAATAAATATAGTAATGGAAGATTGCAGATAAAACAATACCTTAAAGAAGTATATTTAGTTTTTCATAGTAACATCTATAAGAAATAACTCATTTGCTTTCCTAGTTGATACCAATTTTGAAGAAATAAAAAGTACAATGTTCTTTCTCTATCTTTTGTTTTCTTGCTATTTGTATTGACATTGAATAAAAATGGTAAAAATGTTTATACTTTAACAGGTAGATTCATCTTGAGAATTTTATTTCCGTTCTCGAAAAAAAAACTTTAAAAACAATTCTTTTTATAACTCAAGTAATAAATTAATCTTTTGTTTTCTTCTTTCTAGCCATCAAGTTAAACATTTTTCGTTATCATTATATGTTGATAAAGTATCGAAGTGATGTATTACATTCAGCAACGAACGCTAGATGTATGAGAAACGTTGGTAAGATTGTTGGTCGACCGTTAGTGCATACGAGACATTCTTTTGCATTCAAACGACCGATCTCCAGATGGGCACCGACTATTCATGTCAACCAATCAACGCAAACAATGAATGTAACTGGTAAGATTGACATTTCCAAATAAATATGCTATTATTCTTTTTTTTCTTCGAGTTTTTTTTGATACAATCAGTCCTTTGATTTTTTTTTATTGAAAAATTAATCTTATATTTGAAAGCGAATTTAAATTTGCAAATCGAATAATCAATGTTCGGGTTCATTTTCTAGTTTTGGATTTTCTCTGTGTCGGAGAATTATATGAGCATTTTTCAATAATTTTTTTTTTGATATTTTTAATGACGAGAGAAAAGATTTAAAAAAAAACGTTCATTATGATGTACGTAAATTGTTACTGATGAGTTTTTAAAATATAGTTGCAGATTTATTTATATTCTTTCATAGATATTCAAAATTCCAATTATTAAAGTTTTCCTAAGCAAAAATGAATTTTTATTGTATTCTATTTAGAAAAAGTAAATCTATGTTATTCGAAATCCGTCGAAATTTATTTCTATCAATATTTTCTCTCCTTTATTTTATCATTCATTGGTCATTTCTTTTGTTTCGTATATATCATGTATTATCATGTTAAATACAAATCTTATTCTTTTACACATATTCGTTTAGCTGAACTTCAATTATTGATGACTAATGGTTGTTATAATCTTACCAATTTGCCTTGTTCTCTTCAAACACATATAAATGTTTATTTTTTACACAATAAACTTTTACTAGTGTATTATTCACTAATAGTTATTGGCATGATATATATATGGCATCGTACTGTTCGATTTTTGCATTGTACTCTTGTTATATTTGCCATCATCATTATTCTTTTTGGCACGAATATTATTCTATATTATGAGAACATAACTTATATTGGCTGTATGATATGCGGTTCACTAGTCGCCGCATATGCACCACTGCAAAGTTTAATGCCTTACAATGTCGACGATCCGTTACGTGTATTTTGTGAGCGAATGGCATTACCCAATGTTCTCAATGAATCTCTTGTTGATGGTCATTCAAAACGTGCCCGCTTTTATCGCTGGGCAAAGAAAATAAAAAAACAATGGAATATCAAAGAAGAAAAATTAATTATAACTCTTATTTTAGGTGTATTTTCAATCATTTTTTCCATTATTCTTGGTAGTTATATTTAACCTTATTTCTTTGATAAATGCTGCTTGTAACTTGTATAGATTTCTTCAAAAAACTTAGCTCGAAAAGTAGAAAATCAGGGATATTGTAACAAATTTGATGCAATAAATAGTTTGTATTGAAAGACTATGTATATATGAATAAATAAGTTCATTCATCCAAATCTATTTATCAATGATCATCAGGAACTATGTCATTTGTTTTGTATATCATGCTATTGTTGGATTTTACACAACTCAATAATCGAATCTCAGTATTGTTAGAAACAATGGATATTACAAATGTATACAAAATCTACTGTTCTACAAACTTCAACTGACAAGTGATATATTTTGAATGTTTGCATCATTCTTTTTCTTTGCTTTATTAAAATAGAGAGACTCGTATTCTACCTTTCTAATATGAAATGAATTTGACTGTTGACTGATAGTGGGTGTGAAATGAAATTCTTTCGAACTCTAACTATTGTTAATCAAATTGTAACAATCAAAGACGATGATCATTGCTTTTGCATTCTATTATAGACAACATAACATCGTCAGATGTACTATTATTACATATCATTTGTTCTTTGCCGAGACGTAACTTGCTCTCTTCGAAGTCCATGATTTCATGAGCTACTTTTTGTTGTGTAGTAAACAATTAATAAAAGTCGTCAACAATTTGGTCACATCATGATCACCATGCTTATCCAACTTTAGAATATATATTGCCAAAACGGAAACAAAAGTTGTTAAATGATAAATCTGTACAAAAAAAATAAAAAAGATAAAAATATTTGTTTTACTGATCATGCAGAACATATTATCCGTCATTTTTTCTATTATAAAATACTTTTCATAGTAACTTATATATATTTAAATTATTTATTACAGTAAAATAAATAATTGATTCCGTAATTATTTGCTTGTTTCTAATGAAAACCAAAGAAGCTTTTCTCATTTAAAAAATGGTTATTTGACATAGTTGACAATATATGCAATTATAAAATTTCATATTAGATACATTTAGTAATATATCTAAGATGAATTTATAATAGTTTTCATATGAAGATTACATTCGATAAAAAATGATGAGCTAAACTATTATTGATACCTCGAGTTATAAATTCATTTTGCCTCTTGAAATGTGTTTTAATTTATTATGTCGTTGAACGTTTACTAATCACATGTTTTTTATCATCCTAATAGATATTTTTTTAAAGAAAAGCTTCGATTTTAATATCATTTGAAATAAGTTTCGCTTCTGAAGGATTTACTTTTAAGGAATCTTAGCAGTACTTTTTAAAAGAGAATACGTTCGATTTTTTTCACCGAATAATTTACAAATATTGTATATTGTATAAACTTATGCGTTGTTCACATATATAGTTATCTAGTCTATTTTCATTTTTCTTTTGAAAAAATGCTCTAGCCTAGTCAACACTTATAAACGGCGAAAATGTACACTCATTCTTCATATTTTCTTGTCGTCATAACTACGAAAAAAACTCTTCTCTCATCTCTCTGTATATGTATATAGTAAAGAACGAAAAGAGAACGAGATAAACACGCTACTATCCATAGTAAGACAAGCGAGTAATATATATTGTCTTATTCTTTTATATTCGTTTCATAATTGTTCCAAAAACAAACAACAACATTCGTTTGGATATTCATGTAAGTTATTATTTACGTAAAATTTATTGATATTGTTATTTCGAGTTTTTAAACAGAAATTTTTTTTTTTGTCATAAAATACTTCAACAATTGATTATTTATGAACAATTATTTGAACAGATCCAATATTTTTTTGTTTGGTATTCATAAACAATTACTTGAAAAGATTTAAATTTTTTGGTTTGGTATTCGTGAACAATTGAAAAGATTCAATATTTTTTGTTTGGTATTCATGAACAATTATTTGACAAGATTCAATATTTTTTTGTTTGGTATTCATGTAAATTAATATTTACATAAATCTATTAGTATTGATGTTTTATACGTTTGAAAGCAAAAATTTTTATTTTTTTTTTATAGAAATTTTTATTATTATTCGAACAAGATTCGTGAAATAACAAAAAACATTTGTTCTTGAATTCAAAATGGTATCAAAAAGACGTGATAGAAAAAAAAACCTCAACATAAAACTTCAACACGTACCGAAATTCAACCAATTGATAATGCACGAACAACAACTGAAATTCAACCAACTGATATTGCACGAACAACAACTGAAATTCAAACAACTGATATTGCACGAACAACTACTGAAATTCAACCAGTTGCTAATCCAACAAGATTTAGAAAAGATCTACTCTACAGAAAGATGATGAAATATTATAAAAATATTTCTGATTTCACAAATAGAATTCAAAATTTTACCAACAATGGTTCGTATAAAATAATAATGACATTAGTTGGATTTGGCATACTTCTTTGGCTTAGTACGTGTATTATTCCATCTTATTTGGATGCATATGGTTATGCTATGGTTTACAAATATAAAAAAGATTTATTAGATCATTTAAAAGAATATGATATGCCAAATTTCTTCAATAATACTCATGTTTTTTATGTTTTAAAACAAGAAATCGTTTACGACAGGTACAGAAAACTTATTGATTTTTTTACAAAAGAAATTAATGATATAGATATTAATTATAAAGCTATAGACAATTTCTTGTTAGATTGTCTAAGTATGAACATATTTTCCACATCTTTAATGCTTTTTTTGAATATTCCATGGTGGTGCAATGCTATAAGTTTAACTTGTCAAATAATAACGAGAATCATTAAATACGAGCCTACATTTTTTTTCTTAAATTGTACCTTTATAATTAATTATTGTGTTCCTTGTATTTTCTTAACAGTTCATGTTGCTAATGTGTTCTTTCTTTCTCATAGTGTTGATGATTAAAAAATAAATAAATTATAACTATTAATTTACATTTTTGTCTATTCTATATCAATCATGTCGTTTTGTAATGAGGTGTTTAATATTGTAATCGAAGTCGTTGTTTATAAGAATATTATTATACAACTGATTGACCACCATAATATCATATTTAATTAGATTATACGTATATGCGATAAAAATTTCAGATCTTTACATCAAACAAAAGTATGAAAAAAATGATTAACAATTTAAAGGGAAGGTGTTCATTGAATACCCTTTACATGTGTGGAGTGTTCCTAAAAAATGATCTCGATCTCCATGCTTTATGTCCAAAAAGATTTTAATTGTTATTTCAAGCCATTTTCTAATTGTTATTTCAGGCCGTTTTCCACTGTGTTTCGTCTAACTAGACTATCAAAGCCGAAAAATTTTTCTAAGAAAAATCATAACATATAATAATCTTTCAACTGTACGACATATTACTGTGAATATGTTTAAACCTCTTTTATCTTTACTCTCAATAATATCTAAAATTTTATTTATTCGTTTACAATGTTCTCAAATCACTCTTGTATGAAATTTCGTTTAAGATTTACGGAGGAACTTCTTCGGACGTTCTCTTCCGATTTCAATATTTTTTTGCCAATACCCAGTCAGACAAAAATTTTGAAAAACGCGTTTAAACGCACAATCGGGAACCGCGACTGTGATCCATTCACGCTCATTAAAAAAACGCACGAAAACGCGTTTATTGGCGTTTTTTGTAACTTTCTGGGCGTCAAAACGACGAAAATTCCAGTTTTTGAGCGTTAAAACGTATTGTTTTTAAGTTCTAGAATAATAGTGTGTTTTAACGGTCGAAAACTAGAATTTCCGCCGTTTTGACGCCCAGAAAGTTACAAAAAACGCCAATAAACACGTTTTTGTGCGTTTTTTTAATGAGCGTGAATGGATCACAGTCGCGGCTCCCGATTGTGCGTTTAAACGCGTTTTTCGAAATTTTTGTCTGACTGGGTAGTTGGTCAATATGTTATAATAGTCTAAAAAAA